ATTCCCACCAGCAGTGTAAACATATTGAAAGTTTATCTCATAGTCTCAATATATGGTGCCTCTTTGGGTCTATCGTTTCTGCTGGTTTTCATTTTTCTTTCTACTCCTTTGCCTCATTACTATTGGAGAGACTATACTTGAAAAGAATGTGTTGAAATAATTTGAGATCTAGGAAAATGTTCTCTTTCTCCAGCTTTGCCTCTTTCAGATTCTTAGAGGCATTAGAAATCTAAGGCCAACTTAATACACTTTCAAAATTTCAGAATTTTCTAAAATAGATAACTCAATTTAAAGTTACATTGTATATGAATGGTTTACTTCTGTTCACTCTTACCTCTCTTGGATGAGCATCTCAAACCAAATAACGCTAAACACTCCCAACCTTGCAAATCCTAGACTTTATTCTATGAAAACACTTATTCGTCCTCCCAGCCTCTTCCTGGTTAACAAATTCCCACTCCAGAGCAAAAGCAGACCCAGTAACAGGTTCACCTATCTGGATTTCTATATTCTTCCACCTATCAGCCTGACAACTATTCCCAAACTTTTTATTCTCCTATGCCTTCAAGTGGATGTCTGTTACAAGTAATCAAGTGTTATAGAAGGAAAACTGGACAAATAATACAGCCAATCACTTTTGGAAAAAGATAAATGAACTTTTTTGGTGGTGGTGGTTTTTTAGATGGGGTCACCTTACAGATTTTACAGTCTCTTCATGAACCACCATTTGGGCACTTTCTCTATTCCACAAAGGGCTCAACCCTGCATTCTAGTGATGCTTCCACAAGTGGGCAGAGTAGTGCTGTAAACAACTTATTTACCCTAGAAACAGAAACTAAGTAATCTAGAGTCCAAGTCTGGTTGTCAATTTTGGTTCTATAAAAATGGACAAAATTCCTCCCAATTTCATAAGCAAATTGCCCAAACAAAACAAATTTGGATTCACTTTGTCATTCATTTAGCAGAAGAGGAAGAAAACAGAAATTCCTGTTAAAAAAAAAAACATATATATTTGCATAGTTTTTTTCACTTATCGAAATATGAAATTGAATTCTCTTAGTTTATGATTATTATAACACTACTGCTCAACAAGATTCTAAAGCCTAAAAAGTAATTGTAAAATGGAGTTTTGTTGCAAATCGTGCAAATTCTTAACAGCTACCTAGACCTCAGGGGTCATAAACTCGATGCTTCAAGAACAAAACATTTCAGAAAATTAGTACAGTAGGCCCACTCATGTTGGTCAGGTAAAGAAGTGGTGACGACTGTGACAAACTGTAGTTAAGTGTGACCCAGCTACAAAGACTCAGAACAGACAAGTCTTAGCTCCTATCTCTTGTTGACATTTAAGCACACAAACCTGGGGTTGTCAGATCTTCTATTTTTCAAGAAAATCTGGATGTCTTATTCCCTTCCTTTTTTAATACTGGCAATTATTTTTTTTAAAAAGCTACTGAATGCACTGAGTAACACAGAATGACAAACAGTTCAACTGCTGAACTAAATTATCTGTCTGATGGACATTCTAGCTTTAAATTCTGCCTACCTTCTTTATTAGTACCATTAATAATCACTAAGAGAGAAAACATCTTCAAAGGTTTCAGAAGATCCTAATAAAATACTTACAACATAAATACTTTTAGTTTGCAAATATGTCAAATTTTACATGACTTAGCACCCATAGAATATCTTCTAAGTGGGTAAACCTCATGCAAGTACTCATTTTCCTGAAGTCAAGGCAGCTTTTAGTAATTCAAACTTCAATTAAAAAAATTAAAAAGTACAAGCTCATTTATAAAGCTTATTGACTGTAAGAGATGCATACTACTGCATTATATAGCTCAATAGTATGAATAAGATCATGGCAAAAAATTATTCTCATTTTATATATATCTATAATATATATACATACATATACACATATATACAAATGTATAAAACACCAAAAGCTGTTTATAGATTTCTGCCTATCAACACAAATTTTCAAAAAATATTCTGAATATTGTAAAATAAAGGATAGCTATTTTCCTTTGTCTTGTTTTTCTAAACTGACTGATAGATGAGTCATTGATTATGCTTACATGTCACCAAAGACTGGGACAAAATTTCATCTACTTTAAAGCAAAAATTAAAAAAGGTGAAAAAAGAAAAATGAGTTCCCATTTGTACTTATCCATTTAGCTTCCCCATCAATTTAATTTCTAGAAAATATTACTTGCATTTTAAATCCAATGGCAGTTGTATTACATACCTATAAAAATACATAAGTATAACTTTCTTTAAAAAACAGAAAAAAACCCAAACACAATCTGCACATTAAATATCAGACTTCTGGAAGACGATCATAAAACTTCAAAAGCAATTTCAAGTATCAAATGTTATTTACAAAAATTTTACAAAATGAAATGCAGACTTCTGTAGAATATATATGCAATCAAACTTGGAGACAAAATTTATATTTTCCACAGAGGAAAAGAAATGAAATTGCGAAATGGAAATTAATGCATACAAAAAGGATGGCTTACAGAAATAGTATTTAAAACAAGCTAATTATGAGAGTAGTAGAAATAAGCCAATTTGTATCAATTTGTAAAACAGTAAATAATTTAAAAAATTGTAACAATTTTATGTAAATTAACCTTGTTTTGATTCAAGCATTATGCAACATAAGCTGGAAGGTAATATAAAAACAGAAATACTAACTTTGTTGTCTTAGTTCATTCAGGCTTCAATAAGAAAATTCCACTACTAGGTAGCTTTATAAACAAAATCTGAGAAGGCTGAGAAGTCCAACCTCAAGGTACCAGCACACGGAATGTCTGGTGAGGGCTGTTCTATGGTTGGATAGTGCCTTCTTGCTGTCTTCATATGGTGGAAACAGTAAACAAACTCCCTTGAGCCTACTTTATAGGAACACTAATTTATGAGAATGGAGTCCCCTTCTAATATCGTCCTAAAAACCTATATTCTTCATTCTAAGTTTTCAATTTCCAGGGACTAACTACTTAGAATAATAGATGTCTGATGGAATTTTTATGTTTCTTTTTTTTTTTTTTTTTTGGTACTGAGATTTAAAATCAGGACTTCATGCGTACAAAGCAGGTACTCTAGTGCTTGAGCCACACCTTCAGTTCATTTTGCTCTGGTTATTTTGGAGATAGGGTCTCACTTTCTGTCCAGCCTGGCCTCAAACCATAATTCCCCTGATCTCAGCCTCTTAAGTAGCCAAGATTACAAGGTGTGAACTACAAGGGGCTCAGATGAATTTTCTTGAATACAAAATATAATACAGACATGCCTTTTCAAATATGATTTTATAATGAAACTTTGATGGAGTTGGATTTGACGTAAGTTGATAGCTCCATATTAGAGCTCATTCAAGAAAGAGAAATCACTTTCTACACTAAAATGAAGTTTTTTATGATTATAAAAATACATAATTTCTGGGAAATTTGGAAAATTGGGAGAAAAACTGTCCTTTATCTCACTCAGATCTGTTCAGTTATAATGGTGATGCTTATAGTTCAGATAAGAACTGTAAGAATCAAACTCTAATTTCAAGTGTGTCTATATTTAAATCTCTGGGATTTGAATGGGTTAAGGAAGAGTGTGAATAAGAAAAATGGAGCCTAGAATAAAACCCAGAGGTACACCAATACTGAAAAAAAGGATAGAGGAAGAAAAGCAAAGGGGAATATGAGAATCGTCAATGAGACAGCAAGAAAATCAAGAATATGTTTCATTGAGGGCAATGAAAGATTTCAAGGACGGAACAGTCAGCCATGCAAGTTGCATAGGATATACTGAGTAAAGGGCGGGCATGAACCGTCCAATGGATTGTGCCACACGTAAGTTAATGGCTATCTCTGCTGATAAGCAATTTCAAAGGAACCCAAATTAGACAGGACAGATACTCTTCATGAGAATCAGCTGAAAAATTCTTCAACTTGATAAAGATACTTAAATTGACCTTATACAAAATAAATATATACTAATCAGTATTGGCAATTTTTAAAAGCTACAAAAAATAATTAGAAAGAAAAAACACCTACTCACAATTAAACAAAAACTTATAAATAAGAAATGTGTGGAGATCTACATGAAGAAAACCCTGAACTTTCCTAAGATACAGAAAATGTAAATGATACAAGATATACCAGATAACTAGATAAGGAGAGAACAGATAACTAACAAGACTACCTTAATTAAGTCATATAGCACCTACTGCTAATTCTAGGCACTTGAAATAGATAAGCAAACAAAGTATGTAAAGGTCAAAGCTGGCAGCCTTGTTCTCCTTTTTTTCTGTGATACTAGGGATTGAACACAAGGCCTTCTCATATGCTAGCAATGTACTATCACTTGAGACACACACTTATCCCATTTGTTTGTATTTTTTTGTTTTTGGGATAGGCTGTCACTAACTTTTCCAGTGCTAGCCTCAAACTCACCAAACTCTTGTCTTTGCCTCCTTGAGTAGCTGGGATTACAGGCATGTATCACCACACTTTGCTATCTTATTTGTTTTCAATGGAAACATTACTTGTTTCGTCATTCATGAGTCAGGTATTGAGTAATAAGACACCCTCATTCTATTATGTTTCTATGTTTCTTTCCTTCTCAAACAAAGATTGAGAACTTTATCAAGTCTTAGCTTACTGTAAGTACTATCTATATTTTGAAGGGATCTGAATAGTACTCTGAAATCTGTACAATTATTAACAAAAAAAGGGAAAAATATAAATAACATCTATATATTCTCAAGTATTTCAGTTATTAGTATTACATTACTTTTAAAATTAGACATAATTAATACCAAGGTAATAAATACAGCCCAATTAGTCTTAGTTGTTAGCAATCTGGAAGCAAAATGACTTTTTAAATCAATATACTATATCTAAAATAATCTTTCAGTGATGAACTTGAACAGAATGAGAGATCTAATAACAGGTCAACATAAGAAATACATGTCTCAAAATAAACATTTTTAATATTTGACAGTTACAAGTGGCATTTTTAAAGTTCTTTTTACTGTTTCTTCAGTGAAATTTAAATATTCTCAAAGTCCTGAATCAGATGTTTTTTCTCTTCATTTTCCAAAAGCTGTGATTTGTCTTCTTTTGGTTTATTCAGTAGAAACTGAACTATCTGAAGTAGAACATCATCATTAAAACCTTTTACATCATTATCCTCGACTGTCTCATAAAGAGGCTTACTTTGTGTCCCCCAACATATATTTTTACGAGGGTTATTTTGATCAGCATGTACAGTCAGTGCCAAAGTATTTAACTGGTAACAGAAAAAGGAAAAATATTTTCCATCTGTGATCACACCCTGGGAAACAAAAGGTCGAGTAACATCTGCTTCACTCCAGAATCCTGTAGAAAAAATAAAATTTACACATATATATATTTTACCAAAACAAACACATTAGAGGTTATTAAATACTTCCTAGATACTTTACCTACCAAATTCCTGAAGATCTGCTTCCCTACCTTTTCTATCCTAGCTCTAGATCACAATTCTGCATCAAAACTTTCAATTTCCCCAAACTTTATGATTTATCTTTTCCCATAACTTCAGCCATCAAAGCTTTCAGAAGGGTAGCAAGTCTGCCTGTGTAGATCTCTCCTACATATACTATTAACTTCATTATTATTCTTGACTTCAAATTCGTTCAAATTTCTCTATACGAGCAGCATCTACCACCCGAAATCACTATAGTTATATGGTTTGGGAATTCACCCAATCTTAAAAAAAAAAAAAAAATCTTCAGAAAAATACTGTTTCTATGGATTTCAACATCCTATCCTTAGATAAATTCAGTGTCTTCCCTGAATATCTCAAAAATGGTTTTAAGAGTTGCTGTCATTTTTCTTAGGATATGACATGTAACCTCTAAAAGGGCTTAGTCTCTTTCTTTGGTTTGTTTTTTGTTTTTCTTTTCTTCTTCTTGGGCTTAGTCTCTTTACAAGTCAAATTTTCTTCTACATTCTCCATTCATTTGTATTATAGAAATATTAGATCAATAATGTGAGCACGAGGTTAATGTGTATGTATATACACACACACACACACACACACACACAAGGAAGATCTAGTAATAACTAAATCTGTATTAGAATTCCTTCTGGTATTTATTCAGACTTAGTCTAGTTCCCATTATATTATTTCAGGTTTTATAATAAAATCCAAATGTCTCACAATAGGTTCTAGCAGCTCTATAGTAGTAGCTTGTTGGTAGATGTTTTGCTTAGTGGTGTGGGGGTGCTAGGTTCTAGGTTCAAAATCCAGCACAGCAAAATTAAATAAATAAATATCCTATGTGATAATAGCCTCTGACTTCTCTACCTCATTCTACATTATTCTCCCTTTTCTTTCTTCGTTGGACTTCATGCTTTTCCTTAAATGCTTTAAGCCTGTTATCACCTCAGATTTTCACTTGCCATTCCTTTAATTCTGGGGGAAGTATCTGCCCCAGACTGTACATGGGTAGCTCCTCACTATTCAGATCTGTGATTAGAAGTCATTTTTAGAGATCTCTCCTCAGTGACTGTTCAAAAAGATTTTGCCTTTTACCTCACTTAAACCCACCACCCTTGTATCATTATACTCCTTACGTTAGTACATTTTCTCCATACTATTACAACTAGCTGAAAGTGGTACATGCTATCTTTTGCTCTCTCATTATAATAAAAGCTCCAGGAGAGCAGAATCTGTCTGTTTTATCAAACACTTCCTCCAAAAGCATTCACTATACTGAATGAACAATCTCTAATCCAAATCCTGGATATGGCGTTTAAAGAATTATAGGACAGCCATGATTTAATATAAATATTTATCAAAACATTTCCTTTCTACCTTTAGAAAGCTGTTACCTTTTGCAAAGCATTCACTTAGCAATATGGTCTTTGAAATGCTTGTGAAAACTATCAGAAAAAATATTCACACAGGAAGTAGCTTAAGTACAAGATCAAAATAACTACCCCTGTGATACTTTCAAATTTCAAATGTAAAATATTTAGTTATGAATGTTTAAACAACTGCATTTTGTATCAATGCCAAGAATTTCAAAATGTTAAAATGCAGCCTACATTTTAACCCAAAGAAAGCAATCTGAATAAATTACTTTCTTAAAATGTCATAGACACCTTCAAAGAAAAAAATGCCATACAATGAGCTTTACCTTGATACATAGCTTGTGCTCCAGTCCAAGCAAAAAGACTTGCAATAGCGTTAGCTCTAAAAATAACTTCTATCTGGTCAGCACAGTTTTGTTTCAAAAGTCTTTCCCTTTTTAATTTGTCCGGTAATAGATGAAACTGGGTGTGACCATAACAGCATGGATCTGCTGTTTTTGAGCCTAAAAATAAGATAAAAACATTTCAGATAAAATGAGCATGTAGAATATTTGAAGCACATTTCAGTATTAGCTTCAAGTTCATCATATCCTCAGTACTCAAAATACGTAAGCAGGAATATTAGTTTGCTTTATTATTGATTACAATAAAGTTAAATTTCACATGAAAGCACAATTTCTCAATCTGTAAGTTATGGCAAAGCCCACTACAGCACAAAGTATATATGTAAAAGCTATTTAAAATTCTCTACTATTTTAATTTTCTTATGCTCCTCAGTCATCATGAGGAACTTTGTTACTTCCCTTATCATACTCACCACACAATACAAACACTATATGACTTCAAAACTTCCTTTACTATTTAATGCAATAATTACACACCTTGTTCCTAATTTTAAAAAAATTATTTTTATACTAAAAGAAAATAAGGACCAATATTTCTTGACATGCTGACACTCTTGATTTCATTTGATAAAGTCTTTTCAACAAGTTCCCCATAGGTCACTCACTAAGATCAGTGAATGAGAAGAACCTGATAAAATATGTCTGAGGACTAGAGTACAGAGCTTTCTTAGTCATCCTCAAATCAGCTAGGAGTAAATGAAGAAAGAAAAATATCAGAAAAATAAGCTACATGAAGGAAGACATGAGGCTTATAAATTTTTTGAATTCCTGATGGCTCTCACCAAATAAGATGCTTCTGTAAAAATGACAACGTCCCAAATTCAGTTCTAAACATTTTTCTTTTGACAAAACACAAACACTTTTTCTATATAATCAAGAAAGTCTAGTAAAGAAAAAGCTAAATATCGCTAATTCAGTAGAAGCAAAATTTCAAAATTTCAAATGGTGATCTGAACAAATTTCTTTCCAGTTTTCAGGGATACTGCAATAACCTGACATCATGAATTAGCTCATAGCCTATATGAACCTCTCAGTTATCAAGAATTTTTCATTACAACTAATGTTCCAACATTGCACAGCACACTTTGAACACAGTATGTAAAAAGAAACTTACCAGTAAATATGGTGTTTTCATATTGCCGTTTGAACAATGGAAGCTTGTCTGGTTTACATTTCATAACAGGGATTTCTGTAGGAACAGAATATTCCAATGGCACGAACTTGAAAAACAATGAATCCACAGCAATATTAGTATGTTTTACTCACATTCTCATTAGATTTAAAATTTTTTAAATGAGGTGTTTTTTTACAAAATGACCTGATTATACAGGTTGAGTACCCCTCAGTCAAAATGCTAGGGATAAGAAGTGTTTTAGATTTCAGAGTTCTTCAGATTTTGGGATATCTGCATCAACTACACAGGTTCACTCTCTCTAATCCAAAAACCTGAAATGCTCTAAACTTTGGCACATTTTAGATTTCAGATTTTCACATTAGAGATGCTCAACCTAAACTACCATCTAGTAATGGGCCAAATCCAGTCACCTACTTTTACAAATAAAGTTTTATTGGAACCTAGCCATAAACATTCATGTATATATTATGTACTGCTGTTTATACACTTTTAAGACCAGAGCTGAACAGTCTGCAACAGACTTGTGGCCCACTCACCCTAAAATATTTACTATTTGGACCTTTACAGAAAAAGCATTACCAAAACCTGACATGGAAGTACGGACAATATTCAAAATATACCTCTTTTCCTCCAAAAGAACTACAAATATGTAAAATGACCCAGCTCACAAATGTAAAAATTCCTTGGATTTATGACTAGCTATTATACTGTAAATTAAAGTCAAAAACTACTATCAGCATGTTGATATTGAGAAAGAAAAAGAAAAGACCTGTATGGATCTGAAAACTGATGCCTCAACATCACTTTAAACGTTGTGACTTCTGCAAAACATGCCTTACCAGGTTAAGAAACTAAAAAAAATTTTCAGATGAGCTGTTTTTGAAAAAACATGAGACGCAAGGGATCCACCCAAAATATTTTATCCTACCCATCCCATTACATGGACTCCCTATGACACTGCCGCTATCAGATCTCAATACATACAAATGCAGTAAGTCCTTACTTCTGGGAGTTGCTTGGATATTCGAATCTGGTTGTGTGGTTTGTCATTTATTTGGTATCTCAAAGCATCAATTCGACCTTTTCGATGACCAGCAGGAATAATTTCTTCACCACGCAACCAGTAAAAGTGAACTGGGCGCTTACAATCTATCAAAAGATATTCAAAATTTTCTCATTTAATTATTTAGATAAATTTGATTAGAATATTAACAGTAATAGATGACTTAAGAATGATTATGTCTAAATATTAAAAATTACTCTGAAGTATGATAGTGCCTGGGAAAGATATAATATATAAAAATTATACAAATCTGAGGAACCTGAGTCTTGACAAAGTTAAATTTTCTGTGACCAATCATGAGTAGTCAAATTTCACTATGTTCCCCTCAATACCACTTCCTTTCTAACTAGCAAAGGGAAGTACACTACAAGGTTCAGTTGAGCACACACCTATAGCCATAACAACACTAATTCAATAGTGTTTTTAAAAATTACCTATACATTATTTTTCATGTTGACTGAGTCAACATACCAAATATAAGGTCTTGGAATAGATACATTTAACGTGTGTGCCTCCTTTTAAATTTTCATTTATGAAATCATGCAATCGAGATGCCTACTGTAAGTGGTTAATGGGAGGATTGATTAGTGGGCATATAGAAAATTCATAACAGAGCCTGGCACATAATAAATGCTGAATAAACGTTAGCTATTTTGGTTAATAACTGATTTAATCTTCACAATTCTATGACATAAGTACGGTGATCGTAATTCTCCTTTTGGAAGCTAAGAAAAAACAAGGTGAAAGTGGTTAATGAATATGGTCACACTGTTTTTTAGTGGAAAAGCCATACGGCAACCCAAGTCTACCCACTAAACCTATTCTCTAAACCAATACTCCTCCACTTGGCTGGACAGTCACAAAGCAGAGTTCAGGACTGGAGTTCTGAAGAGCGTTAGTTACTAGCCTAGGGTGGAACAGGTGCAGGAGGCAAGGGCAGGGACGCGATTCCTAATTCAGGGGTTGCCACTAAGCCTGCCCCAGCTAGGAGCGGAAGGGCTGGAGCAAAGGGACGAAGCAGGCGTGGCGGCAAATCTGCGGTGCTGTGGTCCCTGCGACCCCACCTCCCGCGCCGGCCTGGGGTCCCGAAGCTCACCGAGCGCGGCGGTCGCCAGGACCGGGTTGAGCGGGCCGAGCAGGCTCGTGAGCGCCGCCACCAGCTGATCCAGGAAAGGCGAGGCGAGGGCCTCGCGCTCCTGCAGGAGGGGCGGGCGCCGCGGGCGCCGCAGGTACAAGCGCTCCTGCAGCAGGCAGTCGCAGGCCGCGGCGCGCAGGGCCGCCATGTCCAGGCCGGGCGCGGGCACGGGCACGGCGGCCGGGGCCGGCAGGCCGGACAGGAACACCGTCTTGGTGAAGCCCTGGTACCAGCGGTCAGCGTTCAGGGCGAAGGTCTGCGGGTACACCACGTACTTCATGAACTGCATCTTGGTGAGAATTCGCAGCTTCTCGTCCACCGACGGGGCCGCGTGCACCGCCGCCTGCCAGCGCTCCACCCGCCGCTGCCGTGCCGCCTGCTTTTGGCTGTCAGGGAAGCCACAATCGGCGGGTACCGGGCCCCGGGGGCTGCCGCGACATCTGCACAGCCCGTTTCTGGAGCTGTGTGCAATGACAGCCCCCGACGGCGGGGCACAAGCCTCCAGCACCTGGCCGCCGCCATCTTTGCCGCGGCTCCGGAAGCGGGGGTCAAGCTCTGCAGTTGTCCCAGCTTCCTTCCCGCAGGGACCAATTGGAAAGCGGACTCCGAGCTCGGCTTGCAGAGGACGATTCTTAGTGGGCTGGGGTTGCGTCACGTCATCCGTTTTGCAGCTAATCAGCTCGTTTCCTGATTGATCGCGGGTTTGAGCGGTTACCGGCGAACGGAAGAACTTCTGTGAACCTGGAGTTTCCGCGAGCCTGGCTGGAGTCAGACCTTTACGAAGATGCTGCGGTCTGGGTTGCTTTTAGGATCCGGGCAACCTTGCCAGTAATCATTTAGGAATAGCTCTTAAATGAAACTTAAAGCCCTTGGTTAAATTGCCTACTTTCATTTGTGTTTCATACAACTACTATTCTTCAGTTTTAGAGATAGAAACTTGAAAATGTTTCTAGACAAACACGCTCATTTTTAAAATTGTGCATGCGTCACTGTGTGATGCCATGCTTTGGGGAGAAAACAACCCCATATGTACCGTGCTAAAGATAATTTGTTTAATAGTGTGATTTATTTTAAAGGGGGGAAATGCTTTTTACTGTGTTTTATCTGGAGAGAAAAAATAAGGGAATTTTTTTTTAAAAGCTAAAGAATTGTGTTAGAATTTTGCTTTATATTAAACCCATTATTTCAACATGAATTGATTCCTAATAATTTGTGAGGTCCTTGAAGAAGGGATTGCTTTAGTTTTCAGTTTTCAACAACCAATCAATACCTGTGCACAATGGATGCTCAGGAAATGCCTGTGGAAAAAAATAACCAAAATCATTCAAAATCTAAACTTACTTCAGGAAATCTAATTTATTGACCCACTTTCCTACTTTAATTAGGAATTAAACTAATGCTAGTTTTCATTTATTGCAGTAATTCTTGAGAATGTTGAAAAACAAACATTTTATTGCCAAAAGGAAGATGTGACTATACCTTTAAGTTAAAGATGATAGTGCAACTTAACCAGAAAGTTGCAGGTATTTTAAACTGAAGTTTAGAAATAACATAGCTAAGTTTCATTAACAGTATCTTCTATGAGAAGTTCCTAACAGAATCTCAAATACCCTTTCAACATTAATAGCAAAAGGAGGACATAGAAGAGTAAAGAGCTTTAAGCCCTGACAGTATTTAAAGAGTGAAAGTGAGGTGCTCAATATAATCTAAATCGAAGTGACATTTTTGTATAAAGAAATAGCAAATATGCTTTTAGAGTATGTGTCACAGAAATCCCATTCAACAGATTTTATTAATTCATACTGTTATGCCACAGATTTTATGATTAAAAATCAGACCTCTAGAGACCAATTAACCTTTAGAAGCCATAATTCTATCAGAAAGTGCCTTTAAAGGATTGTTTAGTAAGTGAATAAAAATTTATCCAGTGTTTACAGATCATTATGAATCAAGAAGGGAGCTGTGGGAAAGGGAAGAGCATACTTAGTGAAGGATGGAGCAGGCAGGGCAAGAGGAAATGTAGAAGACCAGCAATGGGCAAAAGAGCATACTGAGAAAATAGTCTGACCCAAGTCAGACTATGGAAAGATGGAAACTTTCTTTCTAATATGATCCACATCTCTTACACTACACACAATGAAACAGACATGGACAAAATGAAATGGCATGTTAGGTCAATATTGGTACTAGAACCCAGGTTGCCTTCCTCTCAGTTGTTTTACTTGATGGATATTTATTGAGTGCCTTATATGTTAGTTCGTGACCTAAATGTTGAGGACACAAGTGAACCAACAGAGAAAGGCTTATACTTATAGTATGGAGATGAGAAAGTAAAATACAATTACATGGTAGAAGAGGATGAGTGTTATGGAAAAAATACTGCAGGGGAAATAAAGGTAACAGTGCAGTGGCACTGTGGGGAAAGTATTTAGAATGTCAAGTGTGTGGTCAGAGTAATGCTCATTAAAAGACATCATTTAAGCAAAGGGCTGCAGGAAGTGAGGAGTGAGCCAAGCCAAAATTGGAAAGAGAATCCAGAAGAAAGAAGAGTTAGTTCAGAGACCCTGAAATGGGAGCATGCCTGGTGGGTTCAACAAACAAGAAAAAAAATCAGGGACAATCAGTTGGGAAAAAAAATACGAAGGTTAGGGAAAGCAATAGGCACTGAAGCTAGAATACAGGCTTCTAGAAGTCATAGGCTAGGATTGTTAAGACTCTGGCTGCTACTCTGTGAGAATGATGAGCCATTGGAGGGTTCTACTCAGATGTCATAATATTGTTTAGAGTTTAAAAGACTGCATATTAATCAGTTCAAACTACTATAACCATTATCTGAGTAGCTTAACATGAATTATGTCATAGTTAGCTGTAAATCCAAGATGAAGGTACCAGTGTGGTCAGAGTGTGAAGACTCTTCCTGACTTGCAGTCAGTCACCTTCTGCCTTTGTCCTCTTATGGTGGGGAGAAAGCCTGTTCTCTGATTTCTCTTCTTATCAGGGCACTAATCCTATCAGATCAGGACCCTATCTTTATGATGTCATTATCCTTCTGTAAAGCCTCTGTCTCCAAATACAATCACATTGAAGGTTAAGGCTTCAGCATGTGAATTCTGGAGAAGAAACAATTCTATCACATAAATCCATTACACAAAATTGTGGAAAGGCAAATTTGGAAGCAGAAAAAATACAATTTGCCATATTTCAGATAACAATCAAGGGAGATAGTGGGAAGTGGTCACAGATTTGGAACTCAATGTAAGCATGAGAAAGACAATTCAAGAAAATTCCAAACTCAGGAGCAAAGCCATGATCCATAAAGGTAAAAATTCATAAGTTAAACATCATCAAAATAAAAATAAAATTTTGCTGTGCAAAAGATCTGATTGAAAGGATGAGCGACAAGCTACAAATAAGAAAAAAATAATTGTAAACAATAATTGAAAAATAACTAGAATCTAGAATATGTAAAGGAGCACTTTCAAAATTCAATGGTAAATAAGTAATCCATTTAGAAAATGAGTAAAAATAAAAACATGAATATCAAAGAGATTGCACACATGGCAGATAACCACATGAAAAGAAATCCAACTTCATTAGTCATAGGAAAACACAGGTTACAACACATCTATCACAATATCTCAAATAAATAAAACAGTGACAATACATACTGACAAGGATTAAAAAATGCTGAATTGCTCATTGCATTGCTGAAGGGAATTTAAAATACTCTGAGAAATAATTTGCCATTTTCTAAAAAAATTCCAACTATCAAAATGATTGAGTATTGTACTTGGGGCATTCATCCCAAACTAAGAAAATTTATTTTGACACCTGTACATAAAATAGCCTTATTCATTACAGCCCAAAATGAGGGTGAGGCACGCAAGCTTTCTTCAATGGGTGAAGAGGTCAGTGATCTACAGACATCTAAACCATCAGATACTTTTAGCAAAAAAAAAAAAGAAAAAGAAAAGGTTATTAATATATGTAATGTGTAATAACTTAGATGAATCTCCTAGAATTAGGCTGCAACTAAAAAGTCAATCCCTGAAGATAATATATTGTATTGTTTCATTATTATAACATTCTTGATGTGACAAAGTTATGAAAATGAAAAACAGATTGATGACTGGCAGAGATAAGTTGCATAAAAAGAAATGGAACTTTTTATAAAAGTCAACAAAGGATCCTTGTGACAGGAATGTTCTATCTTGGCTGTATCTATGTCAGTATCTCAATGGTGTTATTTTACTCTACTTTTGCATATGTTACCATTAAAGGAAAGTGGGTAAAGAATGCAGGAGATTTCATTGTATTCTTTCTTACAACTGATGTGAATCTATAGTTATCTTAAAATTTTAATTTAAAAACAAAAGCAAATGAAGTAGAGTTATTAGACTTAGGGAAGGACTGCAGATGTAGTTCAGTGGTAAAAGCATGCATTTATTGCACACGAGGCTGTGAGTTATTTCTCTAGTACCACAAAAAAATTTAATTAAAAAATCATGGACTTAGGGAAAAAACATTCTAAACTTTGGGTTATTAGGCTTTAGTGGTTCTGCATCTGTAACTGCCAAAATCCTGGTGATTCTGCATGAAAGGGCATTCTTTATGGTTCCTAGTACAGTTGTGCCACAGCATTGTATATTGAAATATGAGTAACCTTATTAAATTACTATATTTTATTTCTTTGTAATTCACTTGGGTAACATATAGAGATATTTTTTAATTCATGGGTGTCAATAAGATACCTGGAAATTTTGTCACATTTTATTATTTCTAGTATGTGCATTGGTCACCCATTGGTGTGTATCATAAGTTTATAGTTTGGATATAGAATGTGTCTCAAATGACAATATGTTAAAAACTTAGTTACTAGCCTATAACACTATTGGAAGGTGATGGAACCTTCAGGAGGTGGGACTGAGAGGAAGGAAGTTAGCTCATTGGGAACAAGCCCTTAAAAAGGATATTGAGGTCCCAGCTGATCCTTTCTCTCTTTGCTTCCCAGCTGCCATGTGGTAGGAAGTTTTCCTCCACCATTACTTCCATCCTTAGTGTACTGCCTCGATACAGACCTAAAAGCAAAGGGGCCAAGCAATCAATGGACTGAAATCTCTGAAACCATGACCCAAAATAAAAGTTTACTTGTTTTAGGGATAGAGGTGTAGCTCCAGCAGTAGAGTACCTGCTTTGCAAGTGAGAAGTACTGAATTCAAACCCCAATACTTACCTCCCCCAAAAAAGTTTACTCCTTTTAAATTGATTATTTCTGATATTTTATCACAACAATGGACAACAGACTAATGCAATGTGTAAGAACAGAAATGTTTGCTTAATCAAATCCCTAATTTCCCCCAGCTTTCCCCTAACTTAAAACGTTCCTGAAGAGGGCAAGCTGTCCTGATTAAAAAGGCAAGCCTCACAAGGAGAGACTCTTTGTCCCCTACCTTTTTCTCTTTCTAAAGCACAAATGCATGATGCCATAAACCATCAGGGAAAAAAAAGCCATGTTCATTCAA